GTCTTGAACTCTTGTTATTGATGTTTTCCTTGAATAAATTCCCTGGGTTTACTTGCTTTATCCTATGTTTGCTTCAAGTTATGATGCCCATAGTACTTTTTATCTTTCCCATTTGACAGTTCTGTTCTTCTGGATTTTCAATATGATCGTGCTAGCTAGATCTAATGATTTTATGTTAAATTGCAGCTTTCTGTGAGGAACTGTTTCATAAGGGGATCGGTGGTAAGATACGTTCAACTTCCCCCAGAGGGCGTGGATGTTGATCTGCTTCACGATGCCACGAGAAGGGAAGCTCGGGGTGGCTGAAAGTCATTGGAGTAAACCTCTTCAAGTACTTCTCTAGACATCCGATGCAATTGATTTAGTTTAAACAAGCTTTCTTCTCATTCTGGAGCTGTACGTTGGTACTAGTGATGAGTTAATGAACACTAGAACATAGAAGTTAGACTTCCTAGCAATCCGGAGAAAATGCTACTGGGTTGAACATTGACTATTTAATGGCTTAAAGAAGATGATTAATGTGCTAAACTGAAGCTATTCATTGCAGAAGATTGAGTTAATGGCTGCTTTGCGGGGGGGTTCTTCAATTGATTGTTTGTTGTTTTACCTACAAGTTCTGCTGTTCTAGTATATTATGCCGGATGTAAGGCTCTACTTGCTTCATATTTCTCAAGTCTAGCTCTTTGACAATAACTACAGATATGTGTTTAATGCTGGATTTTCTCTCAGCTGAATCCTTCAAGTACAAACTTAAGAGAGAAATTTAATTGTACGAATTTGCATGTGATTCTTCGAGTCCACGATGAAGTACAAAGCATGGCCTCTCGAGAAAAACAGTGTACTACCAAAGCAAAATTATAATCTTTCCAGGGAAAAACCATGGATTCTTGAGAAAACCACAACTCCAAGAAACAAACAAAAACCTAATTATTATAGTTAATACAATGTCTTATTGTATGCTATTATTGTTCCAAGATAAAATATAGACAAGACCAAATAATATTAAAAGAAGGGAAATTATTCTTTATCATCTTATAATTCAGTGGAAATTGCATAATAATTTATATCATATATCTAATGTGCCAAAAAAACCATCAACAGAAATGGCTTTTACTAAAAAGCCCTTGTAATATTTAATATTATAACTTTGCTATCAAACTAGCATTACAACTTTGTCAAAAATAAAAAAATAACTAGAACTTGATAATTCATCAAACATTTTACATGCAATACAAAATCCATCCTAATTTTATGAGACCAATTTGAATCAAATACCGGCAGCTACAGGATCTAGGAAATCATGATCCCATTTACTGCTTTCTGTTCTTGTTTTCAAATTTTCTGTTTGTCCTCTATTTCTCAGAAGAAGAAAAAAGTCGTTGGTAGCTGACCTTCCCTTGAAGTGCTGCTTCTTCTGTCCTTTTCAAATTTCAACAATACTTTATACCAATTAAAGAATGTAATGTGATCGACCAAACTTCAATGTTTGGTGATTTTTTTTTTATTAACATAGTTAATCGGGCAATTTATATATATTTTAATTAATTTTACAAGTTTTAAAATTAATAATTTTATAAATTTTTAATAATTATCATATTAACAACTGCGTAGCTTAAATTTAAGACTTCATAACACATATTTGGTCATTTTTAATCAATAATATCCATTAATAAAATGGCTAAGTCAAATATAATGAACCTGTGGAGCCCTTAAGGGTAGTTGCTGTGGGTGGTCAAATATAAGGAATCTGTGGAGCCCTTAAGGTTGGTTGATGTGCCACCCAATTTGAAGGTACCCTTGTATGTTCTGATCAATGATGGAGCAGCACTATCATTATTACACAGACACTAGCTTTGGTACCCACATGTTATGGCAGGGTTAGATTATTTTATTGCACAAAAAATAATATTTAAGGATTGAAATTGAGTAATATATATAAAATCATTTGTGATAAATATACAGTGATACTAATTAGAGCTAAATTAACATGACCGATCTTATTAAATTCATAACTTATATTATATTATTTGAATAATCTGACAAAAAATAAAAAAAATTAAAGTCTTTTTTATATAGAAAAAATATATTAACTTTTTAAATATGAAACCTCCAAGTTTCTAGATTTGAAATAAAATATTTTTTAATAAATTAAATGTTAAATAATAAAATATTTCAATTACATAAAAATATTTTAAAAAATATCAATTCAAAACATCAAAATTACTATTATTACTATTATTAATTATTATTATTATTACTATTACTACTACTATAATTATTATAATTATCATTGCAAAAATAAAAATCATAAACTTGATTTAAAGGATATAGTTAAAAATTATAAAAACTTTGATATAAAGACTAAGAAAAACAATAAAAAATAACAAAAAATGACTGAATTAAAATCATCATTATTATCATTAAAAAAATAAATAAACTTGATTTTAAGGATAAAATTAAAAGTCATGAAAACTTTGATAAGAAGGAAAATAAAAAAAATTAAAAGTAGAATGACCAAATAAAAAAATATTATATATGCAAATTAGAAACCAATAATTAAATTGAAAATAAATAAAACTTTAATAAAAATAAAAATTATAAAAATACAAAAAAAAAATCAAATAATTAAATTTAAAATACCAATAATAATGAGAATTATAATATATTTATCAAGAAAAAAAATTAAAAAAATTTACCAATTATAAACCAACTATATTTCAAAGACACATCTCATTTATAATAGAAGAGAGACCCGTAATAAAAGAGAAGAGAATGAAGAATGTTTCTGGTTTATCTTTTGGACCACTAATAACTTATAATTGATTGCTAAATGTCACTCTCTCCCCCCCTCTTTATTTATCTATATGTTTCTTTTCTTTAATTAATTTTTAAATTCTTCTTTTTTATCTGTTATAGTTTATAAAATTAGAATTAGTGATTCTCTTTGCTCTCCCTTTTCTCTTCTTTTCTCTAATAAAGAAAAAGGTAATTCTTTTTTATACATCTGAAATTAATATTCTTGACGTGAGATTTTGTGAGGCGAAAGCTTAAAAGAATGAATGATCTTTACTCAAAATTGGTAGATACAATGCATGCTGCTTCCTCCTTTTATATTTATATTTATTAGTAAAATTAGAGTGAATTAACTAATCATCACCACATCAATGGAAAAGGTATATTATATGTAGTCAATGTAAGTATATTAAAGAATCAATTGGAAATTCGAATGGAAGATTGAATAGTATTTATAACAATTAAAAGATACTGCAATGTTCTTAAGATATGAAACCTCATGGGGGGAAATTGTGGAAAATTAGAAATTAAAAATTGTGGATCGATTGTGAAGAAATATGTAGAAAAAGAGAGGAAAACTATCTTAATTATATATTTATATTTTTTAAATTCATATAAGCATTTATGTGTTTCTTGCAAATTGAAACTTGGATCCACCTAATGCAAACCACGAGAAAGTAATGGTATGTATTTTCTTTTTCGCACCCAAATGTTCTAATCCTAGAGAAAGATTGCTATGTCATTTGAAATCTTTGAGTGCCAAGAAGGTGATGTATAATTTTAATATGTAGTTATACGAATCAATTTGAATTTTAACTCAATTTAAGATCTAATTATGGATAGGTAAATTAATCCACATGGTAGTAGATTAACCTAAGTTTTGGTTTTTGATTTTTGGTTAAAAAAACAACTAAAATGATGTCATGAATTTTAAAAAAATTAAAATGATACTATTTTTGTAATAAATAAATAAATAAAAACCAATTCAGCCAAATTATATGTTGATAATCACCATATTAACCCATAAAATAAAGTTTTATAACCATGCTTAATACTAAAAATAAATGTGTTAAATTTTTTTAAAAATCTAAAAAGATATCATTTTGATAAAAACAAAAATCAGTTTAATAAGAAATTCAGTTCAATAACAAGATTCAAAGTCACCAAATTAACCTCTCAAGCAAGGTTTTATAAGCATGATTAATATTATATTCAAAAGTGTTTCCCTTTCTCTTACTTTAAGTATGGTAGCATGAACAAAATCATCCAATAAAAAAGAAGAAGAAGAAGAAGAAGAAGAAGCTGGCTTGCATATGGTCACTTGGGATTTTAGATGCTTAGGGGAGCAAAATGAACCTTTATTTCTCGAGAAATGAAGGCGAGCAACCTTCGCAACATTGTCATAGGCCAAGTGTGGATTTTTAATGTAGACATGTTGGGTTTTACAAGCATGGATTTTTGTTGTCTCCTTGTGCACTTTATGTATGGGAGTTGGCTGGCTTCATTACCACTTTACTATAATGTTCTCTCTCCCTCTCTTCCCATCAAATTATCAACAACTTGCAAGCCCTTTATGTGCAATGGACTCACCCTTCCTTAATCCTACCATGTTCTTCTCTTAAGAAAATCCTTAATCCCATAATTTTGTTGTTGCTCTTCTTCTATATAATTAGAAATAAATCCAACTCTCATTTGTCCCAACAAGGTAAATCAATCTTGAATAAACTTGATTAGTCAATGGACATTGCATTGAGAAATGTAAACCACACCCACCATTGATGCCAACTAAGCTTTATATTTGGCCTCCATAGATCCAGTTCAGAGTCATGGCTTTTTGAATTTAACCCTTAAAACCAATATTTACAAGATTTTTTTTTTTCAGACCAATACGAGGAATGCATTCTTAAATCTTAAGATCTTGTAAAATAAAACTTAATCTTAATTAATACTTAAGTTAACTCCATAAAATCTCATGTTAAAAATTGATTTAATACCATTAGAAAAAAATGATCTAATAACTTTACAACTCATCTAGTTTGTTGTTATTTAGAACAAAAACCCTTCAATAGAAACAATAATCACTCCAATTATAATGAAGAAAACAATTCGAGACCTTGTAAGAATTTAGAAGAGAACACACACACACACGTGTGTGTGTGTGTGTGAAAATGGGATCGTATAATACTCATATCATCAAGTGAAATATAAAGAGAAAATTGCTCCACTTGTATGGAATTTCAATCCAGCCCATTTGAACAATAAGAGAGAGACTAGAGAGAGAGAGAGGTCCCCTTCTCTCCATTAAGTGAAAAAAAATAAAAAATAGAAAGAAAAAAAACCCTAAGACAGAAAAGCACAGTTCAGCTGATTTGATTCTAATCTATTTGTTTTCAATTGCATTTAGAAATCTCAATTTCTTCAATCCACCGAAAGGTACAAACTTTATCTCTTTTTTTAATTTGCGTTTTTGCTTCCAAAGGAATCTGTCTTGGTTTTTGATTTCAAGAAATAAAAGTTTAGATTTTGATTCATTTTTCAGCTCTTTTTTTATTACACATTGCAACAATTTGTTAAAATATCTCAACACTTTGGTCTCTTGTTTTGTTTCAGATATTGCATGCCTCTCATTTTAGAGTTTTTCTTGTCGTGTTTCTTGTCGTGTTTCTTGTTTGATTGCTGAGAAAATGTTGGAATCAAAAGAAATTGCTAATTTTAAATCGTTGGTTTCTTTTCTTTTTGGTCTGGGAGCTGGAAAAACGTGAACTTTACATTTAGATTAACTAAAATAAGAAAGTTTGTTTAATTTAAAGTGTAAAACTGAAATTTCTTTTCTTTTCATGGAAACCAAACTGAGGGATATGATGTAGTTTTTTTTTTTTTCCTTCTGTTGAGTGGCTGCAATAAAATGTTCTTTATTTTTTTTTCATAGTTTGTTTCTGGAATGGTAAACTTGGTTGTTTTTTCTCTGTTACATGTAGTTGTAAGTTATGTTTTGTAAGTCTGCATATTGGTCTGGCACCAATTTGACCTAAAAGGGTCTCCGAAGTTGAGATTGATCTAATGAGGTCAAGTCTTTTCTGGAGTTGTAGTCGAGTAACCATGATATGAACCGTGGAGCTACCATGAAGTAGATTAAATGGGTGGAAATTTGGAAGAAAGCGCATGAGTTGCTTTCAAGGTCTGATTTGGTCCTTCAAACCTAGTTTTATTAAGAGGGTCAGCCTAAATCTTTGATCATCAAAATACAATGGATGGTAACTGGTGATTACTAAAGTTTCATATCATGCCTGAATTTGGGAATCGGATTTATTTATTTCTTTTCCCTGCTTTTGTTCTGGCATGCTATTATAAATATTTCTGCTTTGAATGTATTGAAAAATGTAGATAACTAATTTTGGTGGATAGATGTTGTCCGCTTTCTTGTTCATTTGTGGTTTCTTATGGCAGAGAATATGGGTCTTTTGAATCTCTTTTGTGAGGTTATCTATCTGCATTGCTCTTTGAGTTCTCTGTGAGGGATGCGTTTGAGAGACTGGAAAACATTCGGAAAAATAATTTTTTGATCCCCCATATTGCCATTAAGTACCCTGATTTGTTTTCTATATAAAACTATTTGACAGGTACTGCTATTGCTTTGTCTATGGCAAACTCCAAGGGGTCAGCAAACATAAGAAATTTCATGTACTCTGGAAAACATGCATTACTTCCTCCAAAAAGTCCTTTTCCTATTGTTTCTCCTTCATATGTTGATTATGTTCCCAGCAGCAGTATTGGATCAAAAACTGTTCAAAAGCCTAGAGAGGGAAACACACACCATCAGCGAACTTCCTCTGAGATGCTCTTCATAGAGGATCAGCCTTCATGGCTTGATGATCTTCTTAATGAGCCAGAGACACCTGTCCGTAGAGGAGGTCATCGGCGTTCATCAAGTGACTCTTTTGCGTACATAGATGCAGCTAATGCTTCTAACATGGATTATGCAGCACAGGATGGGTGCAGATATAAAAATGTGATATCTATAACTTCTTGGGGATCTCAAGACTTCGATTATTACAAAGATGTTAGGCGAACTCCTCTCTATGCTGAAATGAACATGTCGAAGCAGAAGAATAGGGCTTGGGATTCATCTTTAAATGCCCAAACGTACCCAAGCAGTCTTTCCTCTCCCAGGGAGAATGCTGGTCTGCAGGGTTCAGGATCATCATGTGCTCCCCGGGAAGCAGATAGTGTTTCAGAGAGTGAAAAGCAAGATCCACTCGATGGTTCACATGATTCAAAAATCTCATCCGAGAAGGACAGCTCAAATTCCAAGTCTTCTGCATCAGAGACTGATACAAAACGTGCTAAACAGTATGTCCTGTATTATTTTTCTTCATTATCAATACCTCATGCATGCTTTGATATATTACTTAGACATAGAGCATGGCTCAAGTCGAATCATTAGTGTCATCATTTAATCTATTTAGTGTCCCCCTTTTCTTTCTGTGATCGAAGCATGTTTTGTTGATATACTGGATGATCAAGCACCATTATTGTGTCCTAATGCTTATCATTTATAGGATGCATAATCAGGGGCTACTAGATTAGCACATGTTTTCTAGGAGTTGCAACATCTTGGAAGTGGAAAATCCAACCACCACACCTAGGGTACGTCGACATACCTTAAAAAAGATTGCATGACGCAACCATAAAGCTTAATTGCTAAAGAACTCATTCATAAACTCTGATTCTTAATATGAAGCATGACAAGTATAGATATTTACAGGCTCAGCACACTCCTAATTAGGTAGTTAAATCCTACTAAAATGGAACACCAGATAATCCGTACAGTACTAAGCTCCAAAAAGGACAAGAATTTACAAAATAATAATAGAATAATACAAATGGAACCTCAATGCCCCGTTTTCATGGCTGCATTACTCTGATTTCCGTCTTTATTAATATAGTACATAAAGGCAGATGTTGAAAAAACATCCAGACAGGCACTGAGGTGTTTATTTAGCGTTGTTAACATTCCACTGGCCTGAATTTAGTGGATGCAAAATAATGACATGTCTGAACGCCCTAAAGGAAAGGGGGATGGTCAAGCCGCAGGTGCAGACATTATCAGACACTTTAAAGGTCTTAGGTTGAAGTTGAAGTGATTTTATTTTGTGTGGAATTAATAGTTTTTGTATTTGGAGCCTCCCTCTCCTTGTGATGGTAAACGATAATGCTTCTACCATGTGGAAGGAAAGGGGAGAAAAAGAACTGATATGTCAAGATTTTTTCCATCGAAGATGATGGATATCCTTGTACTTTTTCTGCCTTTCCATTCTACTCTTGAGATGAAAGAATCATTTTCAAATAGGACAAAAGTGAAAGCAAGCAGAACTATTGAAGAAGAAAGGAGCAAGCAATCCATGTGTAACTCAGGGATGCATGTATACCTCTTTAACATGATTGAGGGGGACGTGTTTCTTCCTTCTGCATTTTCTACCTGGCTTTCTTGATAATCAAATATGTTGACGACATGTGGGTTTATTTATGAGATTTGAATATCTGAACACATAATGGCTAATGCTATTTCTACATTTCTGATCTGTTAATAAACAATCTAAAATTTGGTATGATGACTATGACTCATGCTTTTGGCTGTTGTTGTTTGGTAGTTATTTTTGGATACTTGTTTGTAGGAGCTAGAATAGCTACTTATAATATGAAGGATATGCAAAGGTGATAAAGCTCTCGTACTGTGCAATGAGTTGAAGAGAAATACTTTTGTTAATAAGATTAGAATTATATCCACTGCAGGCAATTTGCTCAGCGCTCCAGAGTCCGCAAACTTCAGTACATAGCTGAGCTGGAAAGAAATGTACAAGCTTTGCAGGCAAGTATCTAAGTTTCTGCAGAAACTGGAGGAGTAATTTTCTATTTAATTTGTAAGGGTGTTGAATTGCTAAAATTGTCGATGTCATAATTATATTTTGTACTCCACAGGCAGAAGGATCTGAAGTCTCAGCCGAGCTTGAATTTGTCAATCAGCAAAATCTTATTCTAAGCATGGAGAACAAAACTCTTAAGCAACGGTTTGAAAATTTGGCCCATGAGCAGCTTATCAAATGCTGTAAGCTCTAATTCCTGACTTCTTGACAGTTAAGGTGTTTGAAAAGAGTAGAAATTTTTGAACCATTTAGTTTGTCATGATGCTAACATATAAAAATTTAAAGAGTCAATGATTGCTTTCCTCCATTCCACACTGCTGAACTTCCCAAGAAAGCAGGTAAGACACATCACTGAAATGCACATGCTTGTTTATTTGTGCCATTTGAACAGAAAAGGATATTGAAGAAAAATGTTATCCAGCACTTTTAGGGGACTTGTTTTATGGATTTAATGTGGAATAAACAAATAGTTGGCTTGGCAGAAGGTTCGTAAAATTCATGAAATATTCATATTTGGGGATGGAAAGCATCAACATGTTCTTAAAGTTTCTAGATGTTAGTGAATATAATAAAACCACATTCTAAGGCCTTACCTAATGAGCTTTCTCTTTAGATTGTGTGGTTCTTGACATGGTATAAGATCTCATCGACCAAGTGGTTAAGAGTTCGAATCTTAACAATCTCATTCTTTTTTCTAATTAAAATTAAAATTTCAGCTCTAGGTAGTGTGAGGAGATGTGTTAGTGAATATAATAAAACCATACGCGCCCTCACATCACAAACTAAGGAGGTTGAGTGTTTTTTTGAAACTAGAAGAACTAAAGGTAGGGTTGTAGGATTTACTTTTAACAATCAAGTCAGCAACATGGTTTTTCCATGTAACAAAATAATTAGGAATACCTTTTTTGTGAATTTCTTGTATAAGGTCTTACAGAGAATTTGATCTTTTGGATAGTGTTGATTCTTTTGTATGGTTTTTTTACCACGTGAGATGGATATTCTTATAGCTTTGCCTCTTAAAAGCTATTTTTGCTGCTATTACCAGTCAATAATATTGCTGTTAGGTTCCCTCAAGTAGCCAAGGCCAGAAGGTGCTGAAGTAGGCCTTAGGCTTAAAATTTCATATCTTGCCAAATCAAGGATATGTAGAAATTGGATCCATGTAACTTCTACTAGTTTTGGATTGAGTCATGATGCTTGCTTGAATTTATCTTTACCAACCATGAAAGTTGTGGCCAAATAACATTCCCAGCTTTCCTAAAAGAAAAAAAAAAAAAATTATCCAGCTCCACTTCAGCAGACTCTGGCTTTCTCCTCTTGAGCTTGTTATTTATAAGAGAAGATTGTTAACAATCTTAGTTTAACTCCTGCTTCGTTAATTTTTTGTTGGGTTGAGTAGCAGCTGTGCCCACCTGCGTTGGCTGGAAAGCATAATATTTTCTTTGCGCTTCAACTTTTCTTGAGCTTGTTGATGTGTCTTGCTATGGTTGCTTCAGTTCACTGTAATTATAGTGCCTTCAAGGTTACAAAATAACAAGATCGTGTTTATGATGTAATAAGTGTAAATACTAATTAGTTTCTAATTATTTACAAATGTTTTTATTATGACTAAACAGTATCTTTTTTCTTCTCTAAGGTGACAATAAACATTTTTTTTTTTATTGAATTTGTACTTAATTGTTTGTAATTATCACATTCATGAAGCAATTAACTAAATTACAAGATGATAATATGATTTTTAACACTTCATATAGTGAATGCATGTAATAGTCCATGATCACTTGTTAAGAAGTGAATAGTATTTATTTTACTTTTGAAAGTAACAATGTACTATATGAGTCTTAATTGTATATTAGAAACCAGTATTATCATGGGATAATTAGTTAAACTACTAAGTGGTAAGATATGTTATTATGATACAATTATTAATTTTTTTTAATAGTTTGTAACTTGAAGGCATTATAATTGTAGTGCCTTAAAGCAACCAAGCGAGCCCCCTTGTTGATGCTTTTGCACTTATAGAACCTATACAGGTATATCTATATTTGTTTGTATGTGATGTATTTGCACAAACATGTGCATGCATGTTCTGTATGTATTTCCTTATCTTGCTTGCCATCACGGTCTACACCCTTTAGAAGACTAGTGAGAATGAGATGGGGCGGGCTGCTCACAAACACCTTTTGCTTCCCATGAATTGGCCTTTTGTTGGGTAAAAATTGACTGGAAACTGTCATGTTTGGATCTGTCAAAGATAAATAAGTTGATGGTAGAAAACAGAATACAATATCAACTGTTCCCATCTATTAAAGTGAGCATGAGTTTTTAACTTTCTCATGATGGATATGTAGTTCCCATTTGTGGCTTAAGAACATGTCACTGAAATGCATGTTTATGACAAGGGATTTAGTCACAACAGATTGCATAGTATGCAACTAAAAGATTTTCCAATGAATATGGCAAGAGTTTAGAATGAACAATTTTAGTAGATGTTTTGGTTCCGTTATCTGTTACTTGAGAGAGGGGTTTGAAACTGCAGGGATGGAGAATGTGCATGGCAGAAGCATGATTTGCTGCTTCTTGAAAGCACAGCTTTGCTTTTGGACAGTCCTTTGATTCTGAAAACTTTAGAGCATAGAAGTGACATAGGAAGGTGACCGAGATAAAAATGATAATGCATTGAGAATGAGATTATTGATCCTCCTCACTATGAATGGAAATTCTTTTATTTATTTATTATTTTTCATGTTCTTACTGCTACTGAACTTTTTGAGGTTGTTTTGATAATGCATTGAGAATGAGATTATTGATCTTCCTCATTATGAATGGAAATGCTTTTATTTATTTATTAGTTTTCATGCTCTTACTGCTACTGAACTTTTTGAGGGTGTTTTCAGTGGAGCACGAAGTTCTGGAGAGGGAGATTGGAAGGCTACGAGCCTTATATCAGCAGCAGCAGCAGCCGCAGCATCAACCTGCTTCAAATCATCGCCGTAGTAAAAGCAAGGACTTGGATTCCCAATTTGCAAACCTCTCTTTGAAACATAAGGATGCCAATTCTAGCCGAGACCCTGTGACTGGTTCACTCCGCATTTAGACATGTTGTAGCCAAGAGATTTGTTGTGCCACTACTTTGCCCATGTCTGGCTTGCCATGTCTAGCCGTGACCACTTGACCATAATTGTTGTTGCCATTGAGTGGGATAAAGCTGGATTCTAGCTTTCATCCCATTCTCCACCTGATTCAAACATTTTGCTTTTCAGTTCTTTCTTTCCCT